TATTTATACATATATATATATATATATATATACATATATATATATATATATATATTATTTATTTATTTATTTATCAAGAGGTATACTTTTTGAAATTGTTTTATCTTTAAATTCATATATAATAAAATTATTTTTCTATGGCTGATAACAAGTGATTGAGAGAAAATTAACTATAAAAGGGTTTTAGTCTAATAAGTCAAGATTTGAGAGGATGAAATTATAAGTGTGTTTCAATTTATGTAATCTCTACTTCTTAGGGTATTGTTTTGTTTTGACTTTCTCTGGTTATAAAAATTCAGTTAGTTTTCTCGGTGGTTCGAAGTGTTAGCGATCACCCAGATTTGCAAGTAAGGTTTCCATAGGAAAGTTGTTCTTAGTGGGTGGTTAAAGTGAAAAATTGAGGAGCATCTCTAGTTGGCTTATCAAGGAAGATTTCTTAAGTGTAAAATATTTGTTTCACTTTCAACTCTTATATATTAGTGAAGAAAACAGAAATATCACTCGAGAACTGGACGGTTTTAACTTGGACTGAACCAATATTAATGGCATTGCATTTTCTAACTCCTTTGTCTTTGTTTGTGCTTAATTGTTTTACATTATTAATTTGAGTTGTATCCAAAATTATGATTATTTATATATTAAAATTAATTTGGGAACTTCTCTCTTTCTATCTATCTCTATATATATATATATATTATATTCATCACAACTAAAAGATTTTAGAGTGTGATTTTTTTTAATTATATTTTAACCTATCCTCTCTTGAATTATTGAAGTCACCTTGTTAACATGTTTTTGTTATGATTAACTAGAGAATAAATACAATATTTTTACCATATTAATAATGTGACTTTAGGTTTAACTAAACTCTACAAAATTAATTTTTAAAGTTAGGGTTATCTCCATTTATATATTCTATTTGGGTCTTATCTTTAGTTGACATGTAACATGATTTTTTTTAATGGTTTCAGTTATGTTTAACATTATTAAGCTTGGTGTATAAATAATATGATGGATGATCCATAATGAATTTAAGATATACTTTGATATTATCTAAAATGTGTGTAAAAGATTATTTTTTACATTTAATTAACAAGTAGTCATTGAGTTTTATTTTTTTAGTAAATTACACTTACAGCTCCTAAAATTTTGTAAAATTGTACAAAATTCCTAGTTTTTTACTCCTATAATAACTCTCATAATTGTTTAAAAAATGTTACACAAACACCATTTAGACATTAACCCCATTGATTTTTTCAAAAAAAAAAATTACATTATGACCCCATATAAGAAAAGCTATCATAATGTTTAAAAAAAGTGTTAGAACAATTACACAACTTCAACAATATTAATGTAACTTACTCTCAAATTTTTTAAGCCTTCAATGTAAAATCTATAATGTCAAATCATTAATGGAAAATTTAAATATAACTTTTAAAGTAATCATTACAAAAATTAATAAACTTACTATACATGTCAACCAATGGTTAGACAAAGACAATAACATTAAAATAACTTGCCATTTCTATCCATTCAAATTAAATTCTTACAGAAGCAACAACTTAAATTTGGTTCAAATTTCATCTTTACACAAATCACAATAGTTATACATATAGTCACAAACTTTTTAAAAAAGTTTTAATTTTTTTTTATATTACTTTCTCATTTCTTTCGATGCTTTAAGAAATATTTCATGAAAACTATTATTACATTTGGACTAAAATACCTTAATTTAATACTCGAATTCTGGATGTCTACACTATTAGCAATGAATATTAAATAAGGATATATTTATTAAAAAAAGTATTAATTAGACTTTAAAATTTTAAAACATCATTTTGTATAATAATAGGTTAAAATATCTAAAAACATGGAAACAAGAAGATAAGTATTAAACAATAAAAAAATGCTGGAGGAATGTTATAACACATTTTTTTTAATATACTCTGTTATTAGGAAAATTCCACGTTAATCTCATTATCTTATTCAGGTCTTAATTCAATAATATAGATTTCAGGCATTTTTAACGAATTTCACATAAAATTTCTTCTAATAATAAAAATATATTTTAAAAAAGTGTAAAATCACTATCATTCCTTTACCTGACCGATATCCCTAACGTTGTTGGTAGAAAACTACCGAATTTCCAAGGCTTTTAAACTGGGAATCAAGTGAAGGAACACTCTTGACCACATGCACCCTCAATAAGATTGCAAATGCAAAATGCTAAAAAAACCCAAAGGAAATAAAAGATGAGAAAGATATAAAAAAGTATAAAGAAACAAGAGTAAGCTTTCTAATATTCTTTTCATTTTAATTCCCATGTATATATTTCTGAATTGCTTTTTTTTTTGGTGAAAATATTTTTGGATTGTTTTGATACATCTTAACATTACAAACATTGCTTACAAGGAAGCATCACGGCTAAAACAGGGTAAAAAGACAATAAAGGCCTTTCAATATATAAACATATACCTAAAGGCTAAATCGGTATACATGACCATCAAGAGCCATCAAAATAATTACATTGTCAAAATAATCAGAACGAGCACAGAAACTTCTGCATACCATTGCAGTATACCACACCAAGATTCAATCACCTAGTAGGCAAAGCGGCTGTCTCATGCTAAGCTCCAGTTTAAGTGCAGGAAATTGCTCCAAATCATGGGACGAACTTATAATTTTCTGCAATCATATCAGGACAATCGGAAATTAATGTATTGTTATAATTTAAAAGAAATAGCAGTATCATCATCACTAGATCCGCTGAAATATAGCATAAACTAGTTCAGCAAGTAACCTTTCTCGTATTGGTCCGTGGGATTAGAATTATAACCCACATCAACATTGAAGCTAAAAACGTAAAAACTAAAAACAAAACACGACCATAAAAAGTTTATTCACTTGATCAATATGCAATTTCCTAAGCTATACCTTAAACAACAGCTACAAATTCTAGAATATGCAAGACCATAATGTGACACATTCTAACTGAATTTGCTGCAGCTTATGTATGTCTGCCTACTTGATTCCAAACTTTCTACTCGGCAACCACTATTCTGTGCACTGGTAATGGCAGCTTCAATTACTGCATTCAGCATGCTGATAGATTTGCTTTTTGATAGTTTAAAGTTATCTAGTTGCAAATACCCAAAACTAAACCATATATTCAAGCGGTTTAGCTGAGTTTCAGTTCCTTTGACAGTTGAGAAGGCAGAAAGCGCTGCATAATAGTTTCCAGTTTCTACAGATTGACATGCCCCAACTCATGAAAGGTTCTCTCATCCCTAAAATGTGTAAATAAACTACCTACCTACCTACATACACCTCTTCATTTGAGTGAGAACTGTTCCTTGTTAAATGACTATGTTCAAGTCTATTCAAAAGTCCAAAGCTCTCTTAAGGCCTATAACCCAGTAGTTATGTGATGAACAACAAATTTTCACCTTTTGTTTTTTCTTATCATGTTATCGGTGTAAAATATCTACCAACTTTGTTAATGACTAATTTCTGTTGAAAAACCTAACTGACCATCTTTAATAGTGTCTCTGTTCCCAAAAAATCCACTTTTGAATCAATTTTAACTAGTGATACTTTTTTATAAACAGAATTAAGAGCAGAAAGATAAATGAAAGAGGATAAGAATCCTAATTAATAAAAATAATAACAATAATAATAATAATATCCAGAAGTATGCAATACAAGATGACAATCTCCTGTAAATCTATCAAAGCCTCCCCTAAAATAGGGGAACACATCGAATAAGCTAGAAAAACTACTCAATCTGAAATGGACTCATAGAAGACTGCCAACTAGGCGATTGAAACATTTCTTTCCATCCAAATATATTAAAGAATCAAAAAGTGAGAATCAGGCCAAAATCTGCAAGTACCAAATACACATTATCACAGGAACTGCTGAACATTCGAAGTATGGTGGGTATGACTTGCAAGCATTCTTTCAAAATTTGGGGAGAGCAACAAGATAACCCAATTTTAATTCTGATTGATTGTGGAGCTTCCCACAATATCATTGTTGAATCTGTTGTGAAAAGATTGAGGCTACTAGTAGATAGAACAAAACAATATTGGGTAAAAGTAGGAGATGGTCATAGTGTGAAGGCTCAAGGGATGTGTGCAGATTTGGAACTGGTGGTGCAGAAAGTCCCCTTGACCCAAAATTTTTATTTGTTTGCTTTGGATGGAGTGGACAATATGTTGGGAATGGAATGGTTAAGATGATTGGGGGAAATCAAGGCTAATTTTGATAAATTAACCTGGAAAATCAAAATGGGTGGAGAAGTCTATCAGATTAAGGGAGATTCTTCCTTGAGTGTATTAGAAGCCCCATTAAAAGGTACACTCAAACACTTGGAGGTGGAGGAGGAGATTTATTGGGTGGAGTGTTGTTTGGCTGCAATGGAACCAAAGGAAAGAATAAGAACAATTCCAGATTGCATAAGACAGATTCTAGAAGAGTTTGAGTCTGTTTTTCAAGAACCCCAAGGGCTACCTCCTTCAAGGAGGCAAGACCATGCTATCTTCTTAAAGGAGGGGGCAGAGATTCCAAATCTGAGGCCTTACAAGTATCCTTATTATCAAAAGAATGAAATTGAGAAATTGGTGCAAGATATGTTGAGAGCTGGAATAATTAGGCCTAGTGTTAGTCCCTATGTTAGTCCTATTATTTTAGTTAAAAAGAAGGATGGGAGTTGGATGTTTTGTGTGGATTACAGGGCTTTCAATAAGGTAACTATCCCGGATAATTTCCAATTCCAGTCATTGATGAGCTCTTGGATGAACTGGTTGGGGCCACCATTTTTTCTAAGTTAGACTTGAAGTCCGGTTATCACCAGATTCGAATGAAAGAGGAAGATGTTCAAAAGATAGCTTTTAGAACACATGACTATTTGGTAATGCCATTTGGCCTTACCAATGCTCCCTCAACATTCCAAGGGTTGATGAATGAAGTATTAAGGTGATATTTGGGGAAGTTTGTCTTGGTATTTTTTAATGATATTTTGGTGTACAGCAGGAGTTTGGAGGATCATTAACACTACCTAAGATAGGTGCTGACTTACTGCAGGAAAATTCATTAGTGGCCAACAAGAAGAAGTGTGAATTTGTTAGGTCACACATGGAATATTTGGGTCATGTCATTTATGCCAGTGGAGTAGCAGCAGACTCTACCAAGGTGGAAGCCATGCTTAATTGGCTTACCCCACAAATCTCAAAGGTCTGAGGAGTTTTTTAGGATTGATTGGATACTACAGGTGATTTGTGCAAGGATATGAGGTACTATCCAGGCCCTTGACTAGATTGTTAAAGAAGGAAGCATTTTTATGGAAGAGGAAGCTACCAAAGCTTTTGATGCACTGAAAAAGGCCATGGCAGCATTACCAACATTGGCAGCACCAAATTTCTCCAAGTATTTTGTGGTAGAATCGGATGCTTACAAGGGAATAGGGGCAATGTTATTACAAGAGGGCAGACCATTAACTTTAATGACCAAATCATTATCAAAAAAGGCTCAGAAGAAATTGATTTATGAGAGAGAATTAATGGCAATTGTTGTGGCTATACAGAAGTGGAGACATTACTTGATGGGCAGGAGGTTCATTATCAAAACTGACCAGAGAAGTCTCAAATTTCTCATTGAGAAAAGGCTGTTGAGGGAAGAGCATCACAAGTGGACCACCAAGTTATTGGGATTTGACTTTGAGATTCAATATAAACCTGGTTATGTGAACAAAGCTGTGGATGGACTCTCACGGCAGATGATGTATGCTTGATGCTTCCATTTCAAGAGCGGAAATGGAGGAATGGAAGAGATGGAAAGAAGAAATTACGGAGGATTTCATTTGTGGATTGTCGAGAGCTTTGGGCAAAGATACAGTGCTGGTGGTAGTAGACAGATTATCTAAATATGCTCATTTCTTACCTCTATCACATCCTTTCTCAGCTCATGAAGTTGCTAAAATATTCATTAAAGAAGTGGTCCAACTAAATGGGTTTTTCGAGGCTATTGTAATGGATATGGACAAATTATTTTTGAGTCAATTTTGGTCCGAATTTTAAGTCGGCAGGCACTAGATTGAATTATACTTCAGCCTATCACCCTCAATCGGATGGGCAAACAGAGGTAGTTAATAGATGTTTGGAGGATTACTTAAGATGTTTTGTGGGGGATAAACCCAAGAAATGGCCTAGTTGGTTACCTTGGGCAGAATTTTGCTTTAACACGCATTATAATCAGTCTTCTGGTATGATGGCATTTAAAGCTATCTATGGGAGAGATCCTCCAGCCATTTTTAAAGCTCAAACTTTTCCTTTAAAGGTGGAGGCCGTGAATTTATTGGCTGAGGAGCAAGATGGAGTTTTGGAGGAGTTAAGAGCTAACATTTGTAAGGCACAATCAAGGATGAAACAATAGGCTGACAAGAAAAGGAGAGATGTTAGTTTTGAGGTAGCAGACTGGGTTTATTTGAAGGCACAACCATATAAACTCAAGTCTCCGGCTAAAAAGAGGAACGAGAAATTGACTCCTAGGTTCTATGGTCCTTTCCAGGTGGTGGCTAAGGTTGGTACAGTGGCTTATAAGTTGCAATTACCAAAGGGCAGCAGAATTCATGTCAGCAAGTTAAAGAAGGTCATTCCACTCGAAACACAAGTGCGGCCCCTTCCGATGGAGCTTTCTGTTGAATGGGAATTGCAGCTACAACCAACAGAGATTTTATCCTACAAATATAGCAGAGTTGGGTAACTAGAGGTTCTTGTCCAGTGGCACAACCTACCAAACTTTGAGAACTCGTGGGAGACAGTTACAAAGATGAATACAACATTTCCACAATTCCACCTTGAGGATAAGGTGATTGCATTAGGGGGGAGTATTGATAGGGGACCCATAGTTAAGAGGGCCTATGTTAGGAGGCAAAGGGGGGACAGTTAGTTATTATATTAACTAATTGGTAGTTGTTCTGTTGGAGGCAGTTACTTTGTATAAATATGAGAGAATTATAGAAGTAGGGTATGTGAAAAATAGTGGAATAATCTGGGAGAGATAGGCACTCTCGAATTTCCTTGTATCACTATATTCTTTCCTTCTGGCTTACATTGACCAGCTAGGGTTCAATAGCAAAATAATACAACAATCTTTATTTCCTTTCTGAATCTTTTTCGATATCCAATGAAATCTATCAGAAACCTCATAGGTTACCTTCTACTATGTCTGAAACAGTTTATAAATTTCCTTTAGAATTGGTCTACAGTGACTTGTGGGGACCCTCACCTGAACCATCTTCTAATAATTTTTCTTATTATATTACGTTTATTGATGCTTACTCCAAGTTTAGATGGAATTATCTTCTATAAAAGTAAATCTGAGACCTTCCCTATTTTCAAGCAATTTAAAGCCATGGCTGAGTTACTATTCAATACTTCTCTTAAAAGCCTACAAACTGACTGGGGAGGAGAATTTAGACCACTAAGCAAATATTTGAGAGAATTTAGTATTCATCATAGATTAATATGTCCTCATACCATCAAAATGGTGTCAGAGAAAGAAAACACAGGCACATAGTTGATCTAGGTATAACTCTCCTTAGTCATGTTGCTTTACCCTTAAAATATTGAGATCATGCTTTTATAACTTCTGTCTATCTTATTAATAGATTGCCTACAGCCTCTCTTAATTTTCATGTTCCCTAAATAGCTCTGTTCAAACAAAATCCAGACTACCACTTTCTCAAAACTTTTGGTTATGCTTGTTATCCTCTTCTAAGACACTACAACTCTCACAAGTTTGATTTCAAATACCATGAATGTGTGTTCTTAGGCTATTTCACTACTCACAAAGGTTACAAATATCTCTCACCTACAAGCAAACTTCTTATATCAAAAGATGTTATCTTCTATGAGTCAAAGTTTCCTTACCCAAATCTTTTTCCTACATCCACACTTGAAATTTCTGTTCCTTATACACCATCAACCCCTGCCTCCATTCCTATTGTTTCTCCTCATGTCACTATACCTAATTCTAATCATAGTATTCCCTCTCTTGAGTCACCTAGTTCTTCTTCTAGTAGTCAATCCTATGTTTCATCAAGCTTGGTCTCTCCTAACCAATCTGTTTCTACTTCCACTAGTTCTTCATCATTGTCTTCATCACCTATAAATATCCATTCCATGCAAACAAGATCAACGTCTGGTGTCTTGCCTAGTCGTGTCCCTGCTCATCTTCTTCTTAATTATTCTAAACCTAAGAGTGTAAAACAAGCTTTAAAGGACCCAAAATGGCTGGCAGCTATGCAACAGGAATTTGATGTGTTGCTCAAAAATAATACATGGACTTCGGTTTCTCTTCCTCCCACTAGGAAAGCTATTGGTTGTAACTTGTAAGTGGGTGTTCCACATAAAAGAAAATGCAGATGGTACTTTGAATAAATACAAAGCTCGGTTGGTAGCTAAGGGATTTCACCAAGTTCCCAGATCTGACTTCAATGAAACGCTTTCTCCAGTTATCAAACTAGTTACAATAAGACTCATTCTTACTTTGGCTCTAACTAATCACTGGGTTTTAGATCAACTTGATGTTAACAATGTTTTTCTTAAGGGATTACTTGATGAAATTGTGTATATGCAGCAGCCCCCAGGTTCTGAGACTGCAGATTCTTCCTTGGTCTGCAAGTTGAATAAGGCTATCTATGATCTGAAACAAGCACCCAGACAGTGGTTTGACAAATTAAAGGCAACTCTTTTGCAGTTAAGTTTTGTGTCTAGCAGGTGCAATCCATCCTTATTTGCCTATCACATGCTAACTGCCATTGTTTATATCTTGATGTATGTAGATGATATTATCAATACAGGGAGCTCAAATATTTTAGTCCAGCAGCTTTCTAAACAACTGGATTCAATATTCTCTCTCAAGCAATCGGGAGCTTTAGACTATTTTTTGGGTATTGGAGTTCGACCAATGGTCAATGGTTCCTTGGTTCTCACTCAAACAAAATATATTAGAGATTTACTGCACAAAACTATTGTGTTTGAAGCCAATTCTATATCTTCTCCAATGGTTTCCAATTGTAAACTATCCAAAGTTGGAACAGATATTCTTTCTGATGCTACCTTTTATAGGTCAGTTGTTGGAAGTTCCAACTTGGAACTCTCCAATATGCAACTAATTACTAGACCTGAAATCAGCTTTGCAGTCAATAAAGTTTGTCGATTTATGGATCAACCTTTGGAATTACATTGGATGGTAGTAAAACATATTCTTCAACATCTAAAAGGCACTCTGTTTCATGGCCTTCATCCTCAACCTGCAGTATCCTCTCAGCCACTTTCTTTACAGGCTTTGAGATGCTGATTGGGCTGCAGATCTTGATGATCGTAGGTCCACTTCTGGGGCTGCAATTTATCTTGGTCCCGATCTGGTCTCCTGGTAATCTCGCAAACAGCCTCTTGTAGCTCGATCCAGTACCAAAGCTGAATATAGAAGCTTGGCTCAAGCTACTTCTAGTCTTCTCTTAACAATGGTTGGGGTCAGAAAGTGCCAGTTTCAAATGTGAAGCATCACAGTTAGAACCCTGTGTTTTGGACAAAAATAGTATGGATCCTCACCATCCCCCACTAGTTACCCTTTGGGAGGGTTTGAAGGTATCATAAAATAATCATAAGTGTAAACAATAACAACCCAAAAATCAAAAGCCAAATAGAATGCATAATAATACCATGAAAATTTATGATATTTAGCACTTGGTATAACACTTTTAGGATATATAATAGCTGTTATTTTCAAAAACTCTCGAGGTGCTGACAAAAATAAGTGATTATTTTTCTTCAAAATAAGTTGAACCAAATACACTGTTAAGCCGATTATTAATTAACTGTATGGACAGCCATGACGTTAAAAGTAACAAATCACTATCATATAAACAATCAATATATAACACATGACTAACTGGATAACTATTAGAGGGTGTTATTCAACAACAATTACCAGTGCAGCAACATGTGCATCTTGTAAAATGTTTCCATCAACTTCCAATCTGGCAACAGGAAACTCTGGAAGATGTCCCGATTGTTTCTTCCCAAGCAAGTCACCAGGTCCCCGCAATAAAAGGTCCATATTGGCGAGATAGAACCCATCTGATGATTGTTCTAGTACTTTCAATCGATTCAGGCTACTGGCAGTTGATGCTACTAGTATACATTTTGATGGCCTTGTGCCACGTCCAACTCTTCCTCTAAGTTGGTGCAGTTGAGCAATTCCAAACCTCTCAGAGTTCAACACAACCATCATAGATGCATCTGGAACATCAACACCAATCTCAATTACTTGAGTGGCAAGAAGTATATGTATTTCTCCAGTTCTAAACTTTCTTAATGTTTCTTCTTTTTCATCACTTTTCATTTTTCCATGTAATAAGCCACAATTATATCCTTGAAACCGTTGTGATATAACTTCAAGATCTGCAGAGGCAGCATGAAGCTGGGGTAGTTGCTCAGAAAGTTCAATAATTGGGAAGACAAGATAAACTTTTCCCCCATCTTCCAATTCATCCAGCATCATCTGCTATACATCAGAAAGTGAATTCATGATAGCAAAAGTAAATTCATTGACTTCAAACAGTTGAAAGAAAAAAAGAAAAAAAATAATCATGTGAGCTATTGAGATAGAAATGTTTGATCTTCTTCAAAGAGGCAGATGCAAATAGCACGTCATAAAGAGGCATATTTAAGCCCATCATCTAGATTTCAATGCCTAAATTATGAAATTACCAATTACTTAAAAAACAGGAAGGCAAAAGACTGTCGAAAAAAGATTGATAAAGACATAAAGAAGTACATTTTAAGAATTACTGTCACCTTGTAGACATCCTCAAATCCTTTGTCATTTCCTTCAATGGTAAATGTTTGAACAGGAATTCTTCCGGGAGGTAAGTCAGTTATCTGTGATGGGACATGGCAAAGAAGAAAGCATTTGCAACAACAAATGATTTTAAATTGGTCAAAACAAACCGAAGTGAAACAGACAACATAAAATATATGTTGTAATTAGAGAAAGATATTAGGAGATATTGTTAAAAATAACAGAATATCTTAGTGATTTATCATTATCTTTAATTTTTCTTTTTTATCTTTTATCTTTTAAGTCGTAGTGATAGGTCTCAACTGGATATTAAGAGAGAATTTGAGAATAGATTCTTCCTTGAGTGTATTAGAAGCCCCATTAAAAGGTACACTCAAACACTTGGAGGTGGAGGAGGAGATTTATTGGGTGGAGTGTTGTTTGGCTGCAATGGAACCAAAGGAAAGAATAAGAACAATTCCAGATTGCATAAGACAGATTCTAGAAGAGTTTGAGTCTGTTTTTCAAGAACCCCAAGGGCTACCTCCTTCAAGGAGGCAAGACCATGCTATCTTCTTAAAGGAGGGGGCAGAGATTCCAAATCTGAGGCCTTACAAGTATCCTTATTATCAAAAGAATGAAATTGAGAAATTGGTGCAAGATATGTTGAGAGCTGGAATAATTAGGCCTAGTGTTAGTCCCTATGTTAGTCCTATTATTTTAGTTAAAAAGAAGGATGGGAGTTGGATGTTTTGTGTGGATTACAGGGCTTTCAATAAGGTAACTATCCCGGATAATTTCCAATTCCAGTCATTGATGAGCTCTTGGATGAACTGGTTGGGGCCACCATTTTTTCTAAGTTAGACTTGAAGTCCGGTTATCACCAGATTCGAATGAAAGAGGAAGATGTTCAAAAGATAGCTTTTAGAACACATGACTATTTGGTAATGCCATTTGGCCTTACCAATGCTCCCTCAACATTCCAAGGGTTGATGAATGAAGTATTAAGGTGATATTTGGGGAAGTTTGTCTTGGTATTTTTTAATGATATTTTGGTGTACAGCAGGAGTTTGGAGGATCATTAACACTACCTAAGATAGGTGCTGACTTACTGCAGGAAAATTCATTAGTGGCCAACAAGAAGAAGTGTGAATTTGTTAGGTCACACATGGAATATTTGGGTCATGTCATTTATGCCAGTGGAGTAGCAGCAGACTCTACCAAGGTGGAAGCCATGCTTAATTGGCTTACCCCACAAATCTCAAAGGTCTGAGGAGTTTTTTAGGATTGATTGGATACTACAGGTGATTTGTGCAAGGATATGAGGTACTATCCAGGCCCTTGACTAGATTGTTAAAGAAGGAAGCATTTTTATGGAAGAGGAAGCTACCAAAGCTTTTGATGCACTGAAAAAGGCCATGGCAGCATTACCAACATTGGCAGCACCAAATTTCTCCAAGTATTTTGTGGTAGAATCGGATGCTTACAAGGGAATAGGGGCAATGTTATTACAAGAGGGCAGACCATTAACTTTAATGACCAAATCATTATCAAAAAAGGCTCAGAAGAAATTGATTTATGAGAGAGAATTAATGGCAATTGTTGTGGCTATACAGAAGTGGAGACATTACTTGATGGGCAGGAGGTTCATTATCAAAACTGACCAGAGAAGTCTCAAATTTCTCATTGAGAAAAGGCTGTTGAGGGAAGAGCATCACAAGTGGACCACCAAGTTATTGGGATTTGACTTTGAGATTCAATATAAACCTGGTTATGTGAACAAAGCTGTGGATGGACTCTCACGGCAGATGATGTATGCTTGATGCTTCCATTTCAAGAGCGGAAATGGAGGAATGGAAGAGATGGAAAGAAGAAATTACGGAGGATTTCATTTGTGGATTGTCGAGAGCTTTGGGCAAAGATACAGTGCTGGTGGTAGTAGACAGATTATCTAAATATGCTCATTTCTTACCTCTATCACATCCTTTCTCAGCTCATGAAGTTGCTAAAATATTCATTAAAGAAGTGGTCCAACTAAATGGGTTTTTCGAGGCTATTGTAATGGATATGGACAAATTATTTTTGAGTCAATTTTGGTCCGAATTTTAAGTCGGCAGGCACTAGATTGAATTATACTTCAGCCTATCACCCTCAATCGGATGGGCAAACAGAGGTAGTTAATAGATGTTTGGAGGATTACTTAAGATGTTTTGTGGGGGATAAACCCAAGAAATGGCCTAGTTGGTTACCTTGGGCAGAATTTTGCTTTAACACGCATTATAATCAGTCTTCTGGTATGATGGCATTTAAAGCTATCTATGGGAGAGATCCTCCAGCCATTTTTAAAGCTCAAACTTTTCCTTTAAAGGTGGAGGCCGTGAATTTATTGGCTGAGGAGCAAGATGGAGTTTTGGAGGAGTTAAGAGCTAACATTTGTAAGGCACAATCAAGGATGAAACAATAGGCTGACAAGAAAAGGAGAGATGTTAGTTTTGAGGTAGCAGACTGGGTTTATTTGAAGGCACAACCATATAAACTCAAGTCTCCGGCTAAAAAGAGGAACGAGAAATTGACTCCTAGGTTCTATGGTCCTTTCCAGGTGGTGGCTAAGGTTGGTACAGTGGCTTATAAGTTGCAATTACCAAAGGGCAGCAGAATTCATGTCAGCAAGTTAAAGAAGGTCATTCCACTCGAAACACAAGTGCGGCCCCTTCCGATGGAGCTTTCTGTTGAATGGGAATTGCAGCTACAACCAACAGAGATTTTATCCTACAAATATAGCAGAGTTGGGTAACTAGAGGTTCTTGTCCAGTGGCACAACCTACCAAACTTTGAGAACTCGTGGGAGACAGTTACAAAGATGAATACAACATTTCCACAATTCCACCTTGAGGATAAGGTGATTGCATTAGGGGGGAGTATTGATAGGGGACCCATAGTTAAGAGGGCCTATGTTAGGAGGCAAAGGGGGGACAGTTAGTTATTATATTAACTAATTGGTAGTTGTTCTGTTGGAGGCAGTTACTTTGTATAAATATGAGAGAATTATAGAAGTAGGGTATGTGAAAAATAGTGGAATAATCTGGGAGAGATAGGCACTCTCGAATTTCCTTGTATCACTATATTCTTTCCTTCTGGCTTACATTGACCAGCTAGGGTTCAATAGCAAAATAATACAACAATCTTTATTTCCTTTCTGAATCTTTTTCGATATCCAATGAAATCTATCAGAAACCTCATAGGTTACCTTCTACTATGTCTGAAACAGTTTATAAATTTCCTTTAGAATTGGTCTACAGTGACTTGTGGGGACCCTCACCTGAACCATCTTCTAATAATTTTTCTTATTATATTACGTTTATTGATGCTTACTCCAAGTTTAGATGGAATTATCTTCTATAAAAGTAAATCTGAGACCTTCCCTATTTTCAAGCAATTTAAAGCCATGGCTGAGTTACTATTCAATACTTCTCTTAAAAGCCTACAAACTGACTGGGGAGGAGAATTTAGACCACTAAGCAAATATTTGAGAGAATTTAGTATTCATCATAGATTAATATGTCCTCATACCATCAAAATGGTGTCAGAGAAAGAAAACACAGGCACATAGTTGATCTAGGTATAACTCTCCTTAGTCATGTTGCTTTACCCTTAAAATATTGAGATCATGCTTTTATAACTTCTGTCTATCTTATTAATAGATTGCCTACAGCCTCTCTTAATTTTCATGTTCCCTAAATAGCTCTGTTCAAACAAAATCCAGACTACCACTTTCTCAAAACTTTTGGTTATGCTTGTTATCCTCTTCTAAGACACTACAACTCTCACAAGTTTGATTTCAAATACCATGAATGTGTGTTCTTAGGCTATTTCACTACTCACAAAGGTTACAAATATCTCTCACCTACAAGCAAACTTCTTATATCAAAAGATGTTATCTTCTATGAGTCAAAGTTTCCTTACCCAAATCTTTTTCCTACATCCACACTTGAAATTTCTGTTCCTTATACATCATCAACCCCTGCCTCCATTCCTATTGTTTCTCCTCATGTCACTATACCTAATTCTAATCATAGTATTCCCTCTCTTGAGTCACCTAGTTCTTCTTCTAGTAGTCAATCCTATGTTTCATCAAGCTTGGTCTCTCCTAACCAATCTGTTTCTACTTCCACTAGTTCTTCATCATTGTCTTCATCACCTATAAATATCCATTCCATGCAAACAAGATCAACGTCTGGTGTCTTGCCTAGTCGTGTCCCTGCTCATCTTCTTCTTAATTATTCTAAACCTAAGAGTGTAAAACAAGCTTTAAAGGACCCAAAATGGCTGGCAGCTATGCAACAGGAATTTGATGTGTTGCTCAAAAATAATACATGGACTTCGGTTTCTCTTCCTCCCACTAGGAAAGCTATTGGTTGTAACTTGTAAGTGGGTGTTCCACATAAAAGAAAATGCAGATGGTACTTTGAATAAATACAAAGCTCGGTTGGTAGCTAAGGGATTTCACCAAGTTCCCAGATCTGACTTCAATGAAACGCTTTCTCCAGTTATCAAACTAGTTACAATAAGACTCATTCTTACTTTGGCTCTAACTAATCACTGGGTTTTAGATCAACTTGATGTTAACAATGTTTTTCTTAAGGGATTACTTGATGAAATTGTGTATATGCAGCAGCCCCCAGGTTCTGAGACTGCAGATTCTTCCTTGGTCTGCAAGTTGAATAAGGCTATCTATGATCTGAAACAAGCACCCAGACAGTGGTTTGACAAATTAAAGGCAACTCTTTTGCAGTTAAGTTTTGTGTCTAGCAGGTGCAATCCATCCTTATTTGCCTATCACATGCTAACTGCCATTGTTTATATCTTGATGTATGTAGATGATATTATCAATACAGGGAGCTCAAATATTTTAGTCCAGCAGCTTTCTAAACAACTGGATTCAATATTCTCTCTCAAGCAATCGGGAGCTTTAGACTATTTTTTGGGTATTGGAGTTCGACCAATGGTCAATGGTTCCTTGGTTCTCACTCAAACAAAATATATTAGAGATTTACTGCACAAAACTATTGTGTTTGAAGCCAATTCTATATCTTCTCCAATG